ACCTCAAAAACTTCTGCAGTGCCCAACAAAATAATGAAATTGATGTGGTCTTGGGTGGGACTTCAAGCAGTCATAAAGACCTCTGGGCTTAGCTCCCCAACAGGCAAGGCTACACTACAGATGGTGAAATGGTATATCTTCGGAGAAGACCACAGCCTCCTAGGAAGAAGCCATACCCCCCAGCAGGTGAATGGGGGGCCAGAGGATAGAAGCATGAGTGGGTTTTACAAAGGTATTCTTCCACCTGTGTATACCAGGTAACGCTGATCTTTTGACTCTTCCGCAACAAGATGGATTAGATTGCAAAACAAATTAGATTCTCAAAGCTGAGTCTATTTGATGTAATTACAGCTGTTGAGCCTAATCATCCTTTCTAGGTATTCCCTAAAGACAGACACTCTTGTAGAAGTAATGCCACTGGAAGAAATCCAGCTCCAGAAGGTAGCTCCTGACCGCACTGGTATTGAGTGGAATGGGGATACAATGTATCTAAGTTTCCAGCAACAAAAATGACCAGAAGTAACTTAGACCCCGACGGTTCCTATTAGAGCACCGAGCTGTGTACTATGGCAATATTCCCAGCAGCCAGGTTAAGCAAACTGCTTGGGCTCCCATCCATAGATAAAGAGATGCAGAGAGTGCACTGTGGGTGCACGATGGAGAATTATTCAGCCATGAAGAAAAGAGAGCATGTCATTCGCAGGACCATGGATGAAATGGGAGGTCATCACATTGGGTGAAGTAGCTCAGCCTCAGAACCACAAACATCACACACTTCCCCTCACATGTGGAATCCAGATTCTTTTTTTAAAAGTCATAAAGGTAAAAGGAATGCTGTTTGGGAAGAATAAGGAGTCTAGAATTAGGGAGAAAGGGGAATAAGGGAGGATGATGGGGTGATTAAAAAAATGATCCAAGCACATTATAGACATGTACTCATTACTATGTACAACTGACAGATGTTAATAATTTTGAAAGCACTGTTTATACAGCTTGGGTGATAAAACTACTCACGATCCAATATCAGATGCAAACAGGAGTACAAGTTTGTGTCACATATAAATTCTCCTTAAACACCAAAGGACGCCGAAGAGCTGGCAGTATTGATTGGCACCTGCCAAGTGCTGCAGATGTAACAAGTGCTGCAGATGTAATGTCAAGGGACAAAGGAATCCCACCCTCTCCGGAGATTTAAGGAGCTGGGATGCTCCCAAATAATTATGCCATGAAGAAACAGATAGCTTCGAATTAAAGTGCATTGCACCCCATCTCACTCCAGCCTGGATGACATCAAGGAAACAAACAATAAATGTTGGCCAGGGCGTGGGCAAAAGGGAGCCCTTCAATACCACCGGTAGGAATGTAAACTGGTCCGGTCGCTAAGGAAACCAGTACGGAGAGTTCTCCAAAAACTAACAATAGATTTAGCGTATGACCCACTTCTAGGTGTTTCCCTGAAGGACTCAAATCAAACCATCACAGAGATGCTTGCACGTTGGTGATCTTGGCTCTGTTCTACTCTACAATGGCTGACTACGGACCAACCTTGGTGTCCAAGTTGGAGGCATGAATAAAGAATGTGATCTATGTACACAATGAAAAGTGAAGTTATGTTGTTTGTGGGGAGGATGCAACTAGAGACAATTATACTAAATTAATTAAGCCAGCCTCAGAAAACAAGCAAAAAAAAATCAAACCAAAAACAAAACAAACAAACAAACAAAAACCCACTTTCATTTGTGGTTCCTGGATTTAATATAGATACATAAAATCATGTATGTATCAGATCTGAAAGCAGAGGTGAAACCGTCTTAGGGAAGACAGGAGGCAGGAGAGAATGTGGGGGGAGGGCATGGTTTGGAGGAATATGCTCAACATACAATATATGTTTATATGAAATTTTTATTTAAAAAATAAAAATTAAGGGTTTGAGAGATTTCTCAGTGGTTAAAACCATGTGCTGCCCTAGCAGGGGACTCAAGATAGGTTCCCAGTCCTCGGGTTGGAGAATCCAGTACCTCCTCTGATCTCTGGGCATCGACTCTGGGCACATAGCTACACAAAGACACACAATTATAGATAATAAAAATAAGTTCAGACTGCCTACATGAAGGAAAACAATAGATGGTACTTGGAGCATGAATGGCCTTCGCCTGTCACTAGAGTCTCCAGCTGGGGGAAGCCATCTTCCTCTGTGGACCTAGGGCAGGCTAAGAGCCACAGAGGCCGAAGCAGAGGCACCTTGGGATTGAGGGGCATTTCCGGCAATGACCGATGCGGGGTCCTTGCTGACCTTGTCAGTATTGGCAGTACATAAACATATTTAACTTGATGCAGTGGGAAAAAAAAGAAAGCGGGCCTCATTTGTAATCTCGGTGCCGTGATTCCTCTCGACTGAGGTTCCTTAGCCTCTGAGGTCTCAGGGTCTTTGCCCACACACAGGGGCGATGCTGTCTCTCGCAGATTTCCTGGAAGAAATAAAGATGGCTACTTTTCCCTTTTTGTTTTTGAGATAGGGCCTCACACTGGTAGCCTAGGCGGATCTAAAACCAGGCTGGTCTCAAACTCATGGCGATCCTCCTGCCTTAGCAGCCTGAATGCTGAGATGATAGTTGTGAGCCACCACGCCTGACTGAAGACTTGGAGAGGCTGCCTGCCTGCACGCTACAGACGCTTGAGCCACGCTTCTTGAGGTACCTGTTGTCTCTTGGGTTTCCTTGGCTTCCTCAGTCGGCCTACGCCCACGCAGGGACTGGCTGGTTCTGCTGGTTTGCTTCCATCCAGCTCCAGCTCCGATCGCTGTTCTTCCCTGCCTTATTTGTGCCCCAGGAAGCTGGAGGAGCTTGGCATGCAAGAGCCATACTCCCTCTGCATCCTTAACCTCTGGCTTGGAGTAGGGTTTGGCCAGGAAACGCTGACAGAAAGGCGAGTGAAGAGCAAAAGGTGTGTAAAGTAGCCTTGTCTCGCTCACTCCCTGCCACAGCCCCTCTTCCTCAATGCCAGTATTTCCCATCTCTAGACATGGTCTTGGTATGGCTTAATATGATTTGAGTCACATACACATACACACACATGTTCATTTGTTGCCATTTAATCCCTGTTGTGGGGTATTAAGAAAACTTAGTCTCCCCAAGTGCGCTCACATGTGGGACCTTCCCTTATGATCCAAGAGGCAGCACTAGCTCAGGACTCTCCCAGCAAAAAGGCTATCAACAGGTGCCTTGAACTTTCTGATGTTATCCGGTGTCGGGTATTTTATTATAGAAACAAAAAGCAGACTACTAAGGCCGCCTTCTCTTGATCCTTTCAGGCCTAGGCGGCAAGGCTACTTTGATCTTCGCCAGGCCTCACTGGTTCCCTTAACCCCGCCTGTGCCCCTGCAGACAGTTTCTTTTGTTAATTTCCTTTCACTTAAGGTATTTTGAGAATGTTATCTGTTGCTTGTTGGTGCTCTGATTGATACACATCTTGTACAAGGTAGCCAAGGCTCATGTTTCCTGGGGTTCTCTCTCCCTCTCTCTCTCAAACACACACACACACACACACACACACACACACACACACACACACACGTCTTGGGTACAGTGAAAAATAAAATAAGGTTCTAGAACAAATAACAGCTTGGGAAAGGCTATTAAGGAGGCGACATTTGAGTCGCATACTAAAAGGACAGGAGGCAGCTATCGGTGCCAAGATCTGGGAGACCTGTTGTTCATATGCACTGGTGGAATCCTGAAGGTGTGGATGGATGCACGGGAAGCAGGAAAAGGCTGGGGGTGGGGCACAGGGGCTGGAAATTGGTGAGACTGAGAAAGCATGCTGGGAACTGGCCAGAGAAGCAGCAGGGATCAACCGTGGGTTTCATGGTTGGTTCCAGGAGGCTGTGGAACAGGTCTTGGACTTTGGCTTGGAGGGCTAGGAAAAAGTTGAAGACATTCAGGCTGGGGAGTAATTGGAACCAGCTTTTGTGTTTGGTTGGTTTTGGTTTTGGTTTTGGTTTCTGAAGATAAGGTTTCTCTGTGTGTAGCCCTGGCTGTCCGAAAACAACTCTGTGGACTAGGCTGGCCTTGAACTTAGAGACCTTCCTGCCTCTGCCTCCCTAGTGTTGGGATCAAAGGTGTGCGCCACCACTCCCAGCCTCCGTGTTTTAAATCTGTATTTCTTACTGAGTGGACGATGGATTATACAAGGTGCGACCGTGGAGGATGTTGCTACAGTTCGAACCAGGATTCCTGGCGTTTAGACAAGGCAGGTGGCCGTGCAGTGGGGAATGGGAAGCAGCAAGCTCTGTGCACTAGAGATAGAATATCCTGAGGAAAGGCAACTTGGAGCTCAGAGGAAGGGCTAACTACAGTTTATAGTTCCATAGGGGAGACAACTTAGTGGGGCGGGGAAGGCCTGGTGACAGGGACATGAGGCTGACCAATCACATTTCATCTGCACTCAAGAAGCAAAACCCCAGAACGGGAAGTAGGACTACACTATAAAACCCCAATCTCCACCCCCACCCCCATGAAGCTCTCCCTTCAGCAAGGCTCCACCTCCTAGAGGTTCCACAACCTTCCCAAATTAAATCACCAGCTGAGGACCAAGTGTTCAAATCCATAGACCTATGGGGTGCATTAATATTCAAATCACCACCCTGGGCTGGCACAAGACTTCAGGTACTTCAGGGGTGTGTGTCTGTCTGTCTGTGTCTGTCTTTTTCTTTTCTTCTTGCATGCTTGTGTGTGCACCATGTGTATGCCTAGTGAGATGCTTGGAACTGGAGTTACAACATGGTGGTGAGTCACCATGTAACAGCTGGGCATTGAACCCAGGTCCTCTAAAAGAGCAGGACATTCTCCGAACTACTGAGCCAGCCCCTACTTTAGGTTTCATTTCTTTTTTAACCAGTGTCTAAAGATCCTGGAGAGTTGTGAACACACTACTGAATGTTTAAATTTTATATTTTCACTGTGAATATTATTTTCTTAAATACACCCTCAACTTCATTTTGTTTCTAAGTCCGCCGTGGTAACAAATGATTGCCTACAGTAACAGCATTTAACACACTCACACTGTGATGTTTTTATTGAAAGAGAGAGAGAGAGAGAGAGAGAGAGAGAGAGAGAGAGAGAGAGACCCTCACGGATAAGCAACTTAACCACTTCTTCCTAACTAAACACTCCTGTGGAACCCGCACAGCGTTGGAGATTCAGCATCACCAAGCCCTCTGAGCCCTCTCTTACCCTCCCCAAGTCCCAATTACACCAACAAGAGTTGCCGGTTTCCCGACTTCAAACACCGCAGTTTGATGTTTGAGCTTTTACAGGCAGGCACACAGAGGAGCGAGGACCCCAGGCTGCAGCGGAACTATAAAATCCCCGTCTTCATGCGTGGTCATGATGGAATTGCCACCCGGGACAGACCCTCAGTTTCACTTCGTGTTTCCTGCGTGTCAGGATGAAGAACTGAACTAGTACGGCGGTCCCCAAAGCGTGAGCGAGTCACGCCAAATGTTACTGCCTGCCCGGTTCCCCAGCGCCCGCCCTGCCCCCATTCAGATGCATCGGGAGCACCGGGTGAGCGGAATGTTTCTTTACTATGGCTGTGGCTGATCAGCCATAGGTGACTCATAAAATGTCAGGAATGCAACGGTGTCTTGGCTTTTGGCTTTGTTTTTCTAATCTGCCTTCCAGCACTTTCACCAACCCAGGCAAAAGGTGTTTTTATTAATCTAGAAAACAAAACAACAACAAAACACTCCAGCTTCCAGTTGCATGCACATACCCCCAAACACACACACGCACGCACGTACACACATTATGTTGCTAGGATCAAATAAGGAAGCAGGAAAAATTTGTGTGACCTTCCTCACACAAACACTAACCTTTGTCCTTACCCATCTCCCTGAGACCTCAGAGCTGGTCCCCAGAACATACTTTCCCTAGCCATCAAGATGCACCCCTTGACCCTCACCCCAATTCTACTTTCTGTTAGGGGGCCAAGTATAGCATTGTACTTATCCAAGGACGGTCCTGCATGCTCCAATGGGAAGGGGATTGCAATGGGAGGGAAGAGGCTGGCTCAAGCATGAGGGCAGTTGAAGGCGGCAGAAACTTAACTTGGGAATTTCACTGGATTGGTTAAGGTTAACTGTCGCCTTGCTTTGATCTACAATCAACTAAGAGACTTGCCCTTAGGCTACTCGGATAGAGGAGTTTCCAGGTTTAACTGATGGGGGAAACCCTCCCATTGAGTGGGAGCATTACACAGAAATCCCAGGGAGAAGCAGGACTGCTTTTGCCTGCCCACCCTCACTCCTACCTAGCTGCCCGTCCCTGGAACCTCCAGCTTCCTCAGACACAGAATGAAGGCCAGCACCTCTCCAGGAATTTTCCGGCCTTCAATACTGGATTGGGACTGCAGAGGCATCCAGTCTATAAACAGAGCAGTTCTGGGCTTCTTAGCTTCTCCAGAGTACAGCCAGCCATAGGTAGACTACTGATCACATAGCCCAATCTAATAAATCCCCTTTTGTAACACATATTCATTCTATCTGCCTTATTCTAGAAAACCCTAGCTAATCCACCTAGTGACAAATGAGTTCTCATAGAAATCAGGGGTCAGCCATGACTGTATGGTGTCACTTAGGGTGACTGCTTACCCTTCATGGCATGGCTTTTCTGGTCACCACCTATGGTGGCAAGGTGGCTGTCAGGCCCTAGTTTGTATCCTAACTCTCAGCAACCCTCATGGTATTTATAAACTCTTCTTGCCCAGCGTTCTGCAGTCAAACTATGCCTGACCGCTCAGGACAAATTCATATATTTATTCTGGAATTAAGAGTGAAGTCGACACAGCCCAAAACGCTGGGGCTGACTCACGTCACGGCCCGATGAGAAGGCTGGTGTCCTACCTCCATTTCTGTTGCTGTGGTTAAAAAATATCCCGACGAAGATCAACTTAGGGGCGAACAGGCTTATTTCTGTTTCCCGTTCTAGGTTGGAATCACTTCAGAGAAGTCACAGCAGCGAGACCGGCAGCAGCTTGTCACGCCACATCTCCAAGAGCAGAGAGAAATGAATGCCTTCAACTTGGCGATCAGCAAGCTTTTGCTTATGCAGACTGGGATCCCAACCCACTTTCAGGCTGGGTCTTCTCAGTTAAGACCATCTGGATGATTCCCCCACAGGCATGCCCATAGGTCAAACTGATCTAAGTCACCCCTCGGTGTGGTTCTCCCAAGGGATTTGAGGTCATGCCAAGTTGACACTTGAAACAGCTATCACAGTTGGGTTTCTATGTAGGAGGCACCAGAGAGCTGTGGGCAGTTTTTGAGCAGGAGAATAAGAGCATTTCACATTTACTAAGGTGTCAGGTGTTCCGTGTTACACAGTCCCGTCAAAGGAAGAGCGTCACCCCAGAATGTCATTTTAGGCTCTCTGGCAGAAGGGAGGAACAGTTTCTGTGACCTGAACCTTGGACCTCTATTCAGAAGCATATTGATTAATTGATTGATTGATAGACAAAGGTTGTGTTTGGGGTACAACAGTTCCTCGTACCATGATGGAGGAGGGTTAACTGTCTATGTGCTACTTTCATTGGTTAATAAAGAAACTGCCTTGGCTTTTGATAGGACAACAGCTTAGATAGGCGGAGTAGACAGAACAGAATGCTGGGAGGAAGAAGGCAATGAGGCAGACGCCATGCAGCTAGCTGCCAGGCCAGACATGCAAAATATCTCCCAGTAAGCCACTACCTCATGGTGAGATATAGATTATTAAAAATGGGTTAAATCAATATGAGAGAGTTAGCCAATAAGATGCTACAGATAATGGGCCAGGCAGTGTTTCAATGAATACAGTTTCCGTGTAATTATTTCAGGGATAAAGCTAGCCAGGAGCCAGGCGGCGGGAAGCGGCCTGCCACTCCTTCTACAGTACCAAAGCCCTTTTGATCCATTCTATATGTTCTCTGAAGGAAATCATCACATTTCCTGCAACCTGTAGTCCTTACTGTGTACTGTGTACAGTACCCTGGTGTGGGAGGTCCTTCTGTCTATGTGTTGCTTTTATTGGTTAATGAATAAAGAAACTGTCTTGGCCTCTTGATAGGGCAGGACTTAGGTAGGCAGGGAAAACAGGACTGAATGCTGGGAGGAGGAAGGCAAAGTCAGAGAGATGCCATGGAGTCATCAGAGATGCCAAATCTTTGCCGGTAAGCCACTGTCATGTGGCAATACACAGATTACTATAGATGGGTTAAATTAAGATGTAAGAGTTAGCCAATAAGAAGCTAGAGCTAATGGGCCAAGCAGTGATTTAATTAGTAGAGTTTCTGTGTGATTATTTTCAGGGCTAAGCGACCAGGAACTAACAAGCAGCCTCCCCCAACAGTACCCAATAATTCAAGACCTCCAAGAGTGCCTGGATTGTCTTGTGACTAAAGTCCCGCAATGGATGGAAGAACTCCTCAGAAGAACCACTCTGTAAATCACAGAAAGCAATCCCTGTTCTCTGCTATGATTTCTTCAAGGTCTAGGTACCGTCAACAAACACGAATGCCTTCTACTGTTGTCCTAGATGCAATGACTCTACTACATCCCCACCCTCCTAGGATCAACTGGAAGTACAGAGGGTCAGAAAAACGAAGATTAGAGCTAGGGATGGAGAGATGGCTCAGTGGCTTGGGTGCTTGCCCTGTGTGTGTGAAGACTGAGTTCAGATCCCTTGAACCCATACTAAAAACAAATGGGCATTTTTAGCCCACCTGTAATCCAGTCTCCTGGGAGGAGAAGACTTTGCAAGTTGACTTGCTAGACTAGCCCGAATCGGTGAGCCTAAGGACGAGTGAGAGACCTTGCCTCAAATAAATAAAGTAGAGAACAGTTGAAGAAGACACCCATAGTCAACCTCTGGCCTCCACATACAGGATGTGACACACACATGCACACACACACACACACACACACACACACACCCCAAAGTGCTGAGCTTCATGGTCTTAATATCTTCATGGTAAAAGCATCACACCAGACACTGTATCTGTCTCCTTGTTTTTGTGATGATGGCATTGTGTGGGTGTGGGTGTGGGCATGCGCACACATGTGCTCACGCATGTGCAAGCGCATGCACATGTGCTTGTCACAGCTCACTGTTTCACATAGATTATAAGGCTTATGCTGCAGGAAAATGGCTGTAGCTGAGCCTAAAGCTTGTGAAGATCCAGTCTCTGTTCCAAAACAATTTACTATGATTTATACATCTTGCTGAGAAGGTGGCCACATTCTTGAGTTCTCACATTTGATTATACAGCAATTCTAAGACCTCTGTAAACCCTAAATATTATAAGGATTTTATAATCTATTATCATTAAAGGGGCAGCCCCTTGGAGTCTCTTCTGGCCCCTCACACATCTGCCCTCTATTTAAAAAAAAAAGGGGGGGGAGGCCCATTTGCTACAGAAAACTGTCCTGTACTGAGGACGTACAGCTTCCTCTGTGCTCAGATGGGAGAATGGGAGACTTTCCCTATTGGTCTCGGAGCATCAAGTGTTTGGAGAAATGAGGGAGACTTCAGAATAACAAGAAAAGTACCAGTTAATCCAGCACAATAATGTCCACCTCACCACCCCCAGGCCCATTCATGAGTCTTCTCAGGCCTGCCATGTATCAGTGAAGAAATGAGATTTACACAGAAGCCTGGCATTTTTAGGCATGACAAGAACATTTGGTTATTAGTTGGATAGCTAACCGGGATGCTGGCCAAACATTCATCCGAAATGAAAAATATTTTCTAAAGCTTTATATTGGTCTTGCAGTATTTTTTTCTTAGTTTTCATATCGACTTTAACTATGAAGCTCTGTTTAAGTGAGAACCAAGCGACAATCTCTTTTCAGCATCGTGAGGTACTCAAGGTGTGTTCACACACAGAGTGTCATCTGGACCCGGCTTGGTTAGCAAATGCCTGCCTGGTGAATACAGACTTCAGCTCCGACGCAGCCTCCCGAGCGCCAGAGCGCAGTCTCAAACTCCAGAGTTGAGCCTGGTGCTTTCTCTGGGATGGACAGAAGGAGCCTTTTGAAAAAGACCAAAAACGCTGGACTCACTACAGGAGCCTGTTCTGGGGATGAGAAATGAACAACAAAGAGGCCGTTTTTCATGGGGCCTCGAAACGAGAGCTCTCTTTCCCCTCTATTTATACAGGAGCTTTGTTGCTTTAAAGGGCTCTTCTTATTCAGGATGAGAAACCACCTTGCTTCTGAGGCCCGCCGCGCAATTGGCAGCACCTTGGGATATTGGTTTCCTTGGTGCAGCACAGCTTTGCACAAAGGTCCACAGCGGCCTCAGAGGGAAGGTGCTGGAGCTACCAACACCTAAACCCAAGGAGCTGCTCCCCACCCATGTCTCCTCTTTCCCCGGTCTTTCTCCTCCTTCCTCAACTGCCTGAGAGCCAGTATCAGAGCCAGAGAAAGGAACCTGGAGGAGAAGGAGGGAGGAGAAAGGGAGGGAGGGAGGCAGGGATGAGACCAGGAAAGTGAAAATGGAGCAGAGTGAAAAAGAAGAAATAAACTCCAGGATAGAAACCCAGATAGGTCCTGTGCAGAATCTACACTGCGTTTGACTAAGGGAGGTAGAACAGGACTTAAACCAATATCCCCAAAGGTTCAGTTACCCTTGAATCATTTGAACACACTCAATTGGCAAGCAGGGTCATGGTAAAGATCTTCCTTTACCAAGGGCATGGTGGCACACGCTGGATTCCAGGAAGGAAGCAAGACTGAGCACAAGACAAGGTGAGACTATGAAGCCACCTCAAAGGACCTTTAGGCTGGCCCAAAGAGTCGCTAGCTTAGGATGGGTGTGGTAGCACACTTGGGAGCCAGAGGCAGGTGGATCTCTGTCAGTTCAAGACCGGTTTTGCTTGCATAGCATGTTCCAGGGTAGTCAAAGTTACATAGTGAGATCCTGTTTCAAAAATAAATACATAAACAAATAAATAATTGTGTGTATACGTACATATAATGGCTGGCATTTCAGAACTGAGATTCAACCATTGAAAGGGGTATATTACTAGGCAGGGCAGCTCTCTACAGCACTGAAGGCAGGCTGGCAGTCTAAGACCACACTGTAGCAACCAAGGCTGTAACAGTATTCAGTGTAAGGGTGGGTCTGACTGACTACTGAGAGCCCATCCCACATGCCGTCAGACAGAGGAGGGGAAACCGACATGAAACAACACGGAAATAAAACAGGTAGGCTATGGGAATGGTGTTCCAAAGGAGATAAATGGTACTGAGAAACAGAGGAACCAGAGTTCACAGTGAGACTGGGGGAAGGGTCAGGGCTTGGGCCAGGAAAGGCATCATTGGGAGTGAATCTGAGTGACGCTGGCATCTTACAAAGCTCTTTTGCATCTAAGATGGGCAGGTCGTTGTGGCCACCTGTGAGGTAGATACCAGGTGCTTGCCCAGGACGTGAGCAACATGTCTTCATTAGCTTCACAGCCCCAGTAGGTAGGTGTCACCCCTGGTTGGTTCCCACTGCATCTCCAGCACAGAATCAAGGAATAGCATACTTCCCCACCTCCGCGGGACAGTGTGGAAAAGCTACCATCCCGGAACCGGCGATGCCTGACCAGGCGTTGAGTTAGAGGTGTGAGTAGTGGCCGGTGACCAGGCTAGCGCCTCTCTGAGCAGAGGAGCGACTTGAAAAGTACATGGAGACACCAGCTGACCTAGTCCTCAGCTGTGAAAAGGGGAAAGGAGAAATTAGCGCTATACACAGCATTATCAACGCAAATTTACCCAAAAATAGTGAAAGTCATCGGAACAAACTGAATAAAACGTTAGGATGAGTTTAGCCCTACATTCATATAGCAATGCTGCATTTGGTGGACTATAAAAACCAAGGGAAACCAAACACGAACAGAAACATGATAACATATTGTTCCCAGGCAGTTAACAATTACACAGTAATAAGAAAAGGACTCAAAGAAATATTTTTGATAGACAATTAAGTGATTCAGGTTTGTATAAATGCTAATGAAAAATTTGCTGAAATAACACAGTCCTGCAAAGCAGAAATCCTATCTTGACCTTTTCTTAGTTTTTCATTTATAAAGTTACGTGTAAGCAAATCTGCCAAGACTTCCTATCTCTGGCCACCCACCCCTACCCCACCCGGGACTCTGCTGTGTCCACTCTTGATCTGCTGAATGACTGGCCTGAAGTCTGTCTCCCTGGGGAAGTCCTCACTGGGAAGAGAATTCGTCCAAAACAAACCAGCCAACTCCTCTGTGAGCTAACAAAGCAGGGTGGGGTGGGGGAACTGTTGGTATCAGACCTAGGTTAGGAACACTTTCTAGCTATTTGATGTCAAGGAAATGACCAATGGCTCCAAGTCTTAGCTTTCTTGTCTATAAAATGGGCACAATAATGCCAGCTTCATGGTGTGATGAGAAACCCGGGGGCTGACAGTTGAGTGTCCTTTGACCTTCAGAAGTGGAACCTTAGTTAGAGGGACTATTGCCAGGATGAAGAAGCATCACTGTTGCAGAATATTCCTTTACACTGTGTGAAGATACGCCACTGTGATTGGTTTAATAAAGAGCTGGCTGACCATTAGCTAGTCAGGAAGAGGTCAGGGGGGACTTCTGGGGACAGGGAGGTCTGGGAGGAAGAAAGGAGGAGTTGCCAGTCAGGCGCCGAGGAAGCAGGACGGGCCAAAAGGAAATGAGGTAATGACCATGTGGAAGAAAGTAGATTAAAATGTATGGGTTAATTTAAGTTAGAAGAGCTAGTTGAGACAAACCTAAGCTAAGGCCACGCTTTCGTAATTAGTAATAAGGCTCCGTGTCATTATTTGTGAACTGGTGGGTCCCGACGAGAAAGTTCATCTGCACACCACAACGAAAGCAACTTGGGGAGGAAAGGGTTCATTGGCTTACACTCCACATTCCTGTTCATCAAAGGAAGTCAGGACAGGAACTCAAACAGAGCAGGAACCTGGAGGCAGAAGCTGATGCAGAGACCATGGAGGATACTGTTTATTGACTTGCTTCCCCTGACTTGCTCAGCCTGATTTCTTATAGAATCCAGGACCATCAGACCCGGGGTAGCACCACCCACAATGGACTGGACCTTCCCCCATTGATAATCATGAAAATGCTCTATAGGCTTGCCTACAGTCCGTCTTAAGGAGGGCTCCTTCTTTACCTTGTATCATGCTGGTATAAAATTAACAAGCACAGAGCCCAAGCATGGGCCTCCGTAGGACACTGCAAAAGTGTTCCAACTCTGCGTCTCATGCCATCTTGCTGCTGAAACAAAACTCTTTAGGCTGGGTAATTATAAACAACAAATGTTCAAGGGGAGGACTCACGAGGCCACACCCCTCCCGGAACTACAGCTAATAACGGCTGCCCCAGATGGAGGGGTGTTTTCAGTGGCTGAGGTTGCTGGGAAGGTGCCTGTAAGCGACCCTCTTTAAACTCATTGAGTTTCAGACACTCAGCAAAAGACGTGAACGTGTCAGAGGGGCTGGCTGGGAAGAAAGAGACCAGGAATGGAAGGGAGACAGACGAAGGTAAGAAGAGTGGACATGATCCAAATACATTATATACACGTGTATGAAGCCCATTAGTATGTATAATTAATATATGCGAATAAAACGTGTTTTTAAAAAGAAGAAATGTGTTGTTCCAGAGAGACCGGAAGGTTCAAGATCAAGGGGGCAGCAGATTTGGTATCTGATGTAAGCTGGCTCTCTCTCTGCTTCAAAGATGGCACAGCATTGTTATGCTCTCTTGTGACCGATGGGCAGAAAGAACTAATGCTGGGTCCTCACTAAGTGGCAGGGATGAAGGCAAGTGTGGGCTGCCCTGTTCCCCAGCCTTTGACAAGAGTGACAATCTTGTTCCAAAGATGGAGAAC